ATCCAGACTGAAATATCTGTTGGAAGGACTGACATTAAATATTGTACAGACATTCATGGTCCCTAGAGGGTGAGTCCTACTGACTTTGGTAGTTGCCAAACCTTTCATCATCTGACTTTGCCAGCAGCACTAGAGGAAAAGTTAGCAATGTCAACCGGCAGATTGACATTTTTGTTTTTTAGTGTCTCGATAACAAATTCCTCTGAAATTTGGCACAGACATTTGTGATTGTCATCACTGTGGTGATTCTTTAAAGCCACTGGGGACCCAAATCCACAATAGCCTTCTAATTATATAATTTAGGGTCTGTTCATAATAATCAGCATGTAAAAAGTAAAAAAATAGTTTCAATCTAAATTTGAAATATTACAATTTAAGTTTTTTTAACTTTACTCATATTGGGTTTGAACTGGGCGTGGTTATCCTCAAACATTTATAACAAAAACTAAGCAAAAAATTCCTTGAACCAAAAAAAAAATCCATGTGAGTTGTCCGACCCCAGTGGGTGCAACAAAACTTCTCACCGTAATACACAGCCATACACCATCTGAATTTAAGTCTCTCTCTTTCACTCAACTAGGACTAACATTTTAGTTTGTCATTCCACTGTTACAACAATCATCAACTCTTGCATGGTTGATACAAATCCAAAACCCAGAGTTAGATGTGAAAATATTGTGGTTCTGCTACTGGTTTCCCCGCTGGCTCTCTCTTCTGAACAGTTTCTGGTCTATATACTGGTCTGCCACACCCACACAGTCTTGATCAATAGTCTCGAATGATTTCAAACTCAGTTTTATAATAATCATGAACGTTTATTTTCTCTCAGATTTTTGGTGATGCTTTATGAGACACTCAACTTTGACATCAGATGTGCATCTTTTACTGTTTTAAGCCACATTTTAAGAGGCTCTGATTATTCTAGTGCCATAATAAACATAGCATGTAACACACAGTAGCCATGCCTACAACCCCACAGAGTTGATACCTGTAGAAACTAAAAATCTAAAATACATATTATCATGTAAGCCATTCATTTCAGTTTACACAATATATTTATAATCTATATCTTGCAAATTTAAAGGTGGCTATGTCCCTCTCCACTCCAGTCCAGTATGAGAAGGAGTGTTTGGAGGAGGAAGATGCAAGGAGAAAGAGGAGGAGGTTGACAATGACTGAAGATGACAGCTAATGGCGTGAAGACTGTCAGGGCAGCCAGTGTGTCTAAATAACCAGGTGCTGCGATTTAGTTTCTGCCTGGTTAAACAGTGGAATAATTGGTCAAGTTAGCCAGTAATTAGACCGGCTCTGCCACGTTGCGTCTGAGAGCCCAGCGACGGCACCGCCATGCTAATTGGGCTATTTATACCGTAACACATTGACCAGGCTCACTGGCTTCCCTTCCAATTCGCTTTTCAGCACTTGTTTATTTTTTCCGTGTGTACTTAGGACACAGTGCTGGACTCGCCACCCTCCTCCTCCTCCCCTCCTAAAGCCATTTTTCATTCCAACTTGAGCTCACTGAACTTCTGTCCCCTGCCCTCTGTCTCTTTGTCTGTCTGTCTGTCTCTCTTTGTTGTTTTTCCTCCCTCTCCTCTCCTCTCCTCTCCTCCCTTAGACACAGCAGCTCCCTTTCTCCCAGGCTTTCTGTTTTGCTAATCAGTGTTTTATGAATGCCAGTGTCTGTGTGCAGGACTGTCTCTTCCTTGTGTGTGTGTGTGTGTGTGTGTGTGTGTGTGTGTGTGTGTGTTGTGTGTGTGCGTGTGCGTGAGTGTGTGTGAGAGCATTCCTCTGTGAGTGTGTTGAGATGGATGTACGTCAGTCAGTCAAACCTGCATCCCCCTGGAGTGTGATTAATAGAGCCAGCTGTGAAAACCACCCTGACACACACACACACACACACACACACACACACACACACACACACACACACACACACACACATTCACACTCCTGTACTCACACACTGTGGAATACTTCGAATGCTCCTTTTTCACAAAAGTCACATTTTCTTCTCACTGTGTCTCTGGCATTTCTGTGCCAGAAATGAGCTGCTGCTTATGAGAGGCCATCTCTAACAGTAGATCCCACCAATAGCTCGCTCACACCCCTCCCCCTGTTTGGGTGTGATGGCCTCTCTATTCTCTGTCTGTCTGTCGCTCTGTATCTCAGCATCTGTATTCTTTCTGCCTTTTATTATCCCTATATCTTCCCCTCTCACTTCTCCCTTTTCTCACTCTCTTCTTCTGATTTATTATCTTTCCCTCTGTCTGTCCTTTTCTCTGTCTTTCTGTCCCCTTTAGGCTAACCCTCAAACCTCCATCAGGAAGCAAACAAGGCTCCTTGACATTCAATTTCCTGCTTGCCACGCACTTCTCTATTGTATGTGCTTCTTCTTCTTTTCTAGGACTCTTTTTGTGCGAGTTGAATAGGTGGATGGATGTGGCATTGGACGAATAGGGGAGCAGATGGATGGATGGATGTGGATGGATGAGGAAAGAACTTGTTTTTTTTTGTAGGGTTGTCAGCCTCTGTGGCTAAAGCTTTACCAGCAAGGTCACTTTGTGGGGATTTTCAGCATTTTTCTTGAGAACAGTAAACTGAATGTGTTTGGGAGCTGTCAGCAGTGAAAACAGCAAGCCAAGAGTATTTTCCCCCCTTATTTTGTGCTATCTCTGACCGGACAGTCATAATTGTGCACAATGTGATAAATAACCAGTTAAACAATTTCTTAATGTAATACAATATATTGTATTAATGTTCTGAACAATGTAAAAACCTCTTTAGAAAGACGGTGTGCTTAAAAAAACCCTGTATAACATTATGGCAGAGATGCTACAAGTCCAAGTCAAGTCTCTCATGGTTATAATAAATGTTCTATCATCTGCTGCATGATCTGGTCTATTTAGAGCACTGCATATAGCATACAGTATTAGCATTAATTAGTTGTTTGGTAATTGATCACTTTAAATAGGCTATTGCAATGCGATATGAAAAAAAAAACACAATGTAAACATTCTTAATAACTGTATTTGTAACATGAACATGCAGCTACAGTGCAGACCAAGTATTGGCTAAAAAAATGAATATATGCTAACATTACTCAGTGTAACAGAAAAGTATTATGATCTTTATTAGGCATGCAATAATAAGTAATTTTTCAATAACCGTACTGCTGTATTGTGTAATTACAGTGGGTCTCCAACTAATGACAGCTCATAATCTACTGTAAATTAACACATCCCTCTATCCTCTCAAACCCAGTGTAATAGTAACCCAATAAGCCTGTTATGTTCAACAATATACATATGCAACATACATAATGTTGATGCACCCAAAAAAAACATAAATTAAATAAATAAAGATTGTTCCCGACTCAGTCAAGTCTCAGTCAAGTGTGTTCAACTTAAGTGTGACTGAGTCCGAGTTGCAACAACCACATCCAAATATAGATCAGTAAATCAAGGTTTGAAATTTGTTGCTGAAGTGTGGGGAGTGGTTGAATACCTGTTCATCATGGATTGCATAGTTTGTGACTCATCTGAGCAACATGTATATAAGGAAACAACTTATCTCATCATAGTGTTTCTGAAATTACTGAAAAGAAGGTTTTCTGGAGAATTTAAGCAAAAATAGAAAGCATGCTAAGTCAAGTGTGCTAGTCGACTAACAATATTTCTTTTTAAGAAGAATTTTTTGCAATATTAAGCTTCCAAAACTACAGAAGACAATTCAGCAGAACCTGCTCACTTTGTAATAAATCACAATTTAAGATTGTAAGTGGTCAGGACCGAAGCAAGAGACAGTCTTGGTTTGTTGCCACAACTGTCTATTGCTTTTGCTAAGCCTTGTAAAAAATACAAGTTGGCTAAATATCAGCACCAATGTATGCCTGGACAGCAGACTTTAAAGCATGCTTGTTTCTCACTGCACTGCTCTCTTTTCTTGTTGCTAAGAACACTGTTGTGCACCGTTCAATGAACCACAATCTCATTGTTTGTTTGTCCACCCAGGAATTAGAGGCACTCCAACAGGCCATTGTCTGACATTTTTAACATTACTGAAGGAACCTTCAGAACAACCCTTTGCACACCTGAATACTCTATTGACGGTGACCATCAAAGACCTCTCTAAAGTTAGCTTTCACCTAAATTAGTGGAATGTTTTCCTTATCAGACTGTTGTATCTCAAGTTCTTAACTGACTGTCCATATTCTAAGTGAAGACGTGGGTAACTAACTGGTGCTGTTTGATTAGATGGCACCACAAGCAGGTAAAAATCTGCAAGTCAGTCAATCCAGCCCGTCAGAAATTACTTGGTAATTAGTGTGTGTGTGTGTGTGTGTGTGTGTGTGTGTGTGTGTGTGTGTGTGTTTGTGTGTGTTTGTGCTCCTGAGCCTGCTTGTGTGTGTTTGCAGTGAGTCCTGTTGAGAGATAAATGAGTCTGGTTGACATTGTCTCGAACAGGTGGTGAAGTCAGCAGGGAAGACATACAGACAACTCTCATACACACACACACACACACACACACACACACACACACACACACACACACACACACACACACACACAAACACACAGACACACACACTCACACACTCACACACCCAATTTGACTTCAATGCCGATTTTCTGGCTTGTTTGAGAGCGTAGCCAATCTGATTGGATAAAGAAGGAAGAATAGGTTGTCTTTGAATAGCCTCCATATTGAGTGGCTGATGTATTGATTACAGAGGCAGAGAACCCACATTAATCATTCACAGCATGTTTGATTGACTGATTTATTGTCTTTTATGAACATTGCATGCTATTTATTTGCCTCTGTGAGAACCAGTGAGTGTGTTAAAGGAACAGTTCATCCTAAAATTAAAACTCTGTGTATGTAAGTACTTTTGTGTCACACATCATCGCATCTAAAAAAAGACATTAAGACAACAGTATGCAGATCAGCTAAAGAAGTTACGTTTTCCTCATGTCCTCTGTGTATGTGTTTATTTTTAGGTGAGTGTGGTGCAGGACTCTGTGAACATCTCAGGCCAGAACACAACGAACATGGTGAAGGTACCGGATTGCAGGCTGGCGGAGGAGCTCGGAGATCTGTGGGAAAACTCTAGATTCACCGACTGCTCCCTGTGTGTCGCTGGCCAGAAATTCCAGGCACACAAAGCCATCCTAGCAGGTGAGAATATCCCTTAATTCGTCACATCTAACAAAGGTGGCACATAAAGACTTAGCATTTAGGTTGTCTTGGAAACTTCAGTCAGTCAGTGATTCTGATTTTCTGATGTCTATGAAAAGAAAATCCCAACAATCAAGTGTAGTTTTCATCATTCAAGTAATTGTGTGGTCATGGTATGACACAGAAATATACTGTACATTTTAAAGTCTAGCTTGCAGTAAAACATGAACTCTAAAGGTATAGTCACATTACACATTCATATTCACTCTGTTTCCAATCTCAAACCGACTCCTCCAGTTATCTTTATTATCCCAAACTGGAAACTTGATTTGCAGTCAGGGGCACAAACAAGGTTAGGATTTTAAAATTCCATGTGCAAATTAAGCAGGGATATTGCACAAGGAATAAAGGAGTGTTCAACTTTTTTAAATCTACGGCCTGAGAGAAGAGTTTCAGCCTCAAGGTGAAGGGGGTGGTTTGTAAAGTTCAGTATGGACTTGGCTTTGCGGAGAACCTGCTGGTCAAAGATAGCCATCGGAGGGGTCTGTGGGACAAAGATCACCTTCCCAGCAACCTTAACAATGTGGTTCAGGTGGTTTTTATCCTTTATGTTTAGGTTACCGTACCAAGCAACAGATTCAGTTAATGTCTTTTAAGACAAGGACATAATTTTCCTGTCCACATTAAAAACATTTAACTTCCTAAGGAAGTACAAACGTTGCTGTCCTTTCTTACAGACTGAATCAGAATTTATATCAAATTTCAAGTTTTTATCGATGACTGTTCAAAGATATTTCTACTGTTCAACAATTTTAATGCCAGTTCCTTTGATGAAGGTCTGAGATGGTGGGTGGGATGATTGCCTTCTGAAATCAATGACCGTATCCTTGGTCTTTGTGACGTTTAATTTGAGAAAGGCCATCACACCTTTTAACTAAGTCATCTACCACTGGCCCGTGCTCAGATTCATCTTTATGGAGCAAGTTGATGATAACTGTGTCATCAGCAAATTTCAGGATGTGCCTGTCCCCCTGCTGGCTTCTGCAGTCATTGGTGTAAAGAATGTAAAACAAAAGAGACAAGACACAGCCCCGAGGAGAGCCAGTGGAAGATGAACACTGTTCTGACAGAAAGCCATTTACTCTCACCCTCTGAGACCTACATGTTAAAAAGTCTACAATCCAGCCCACCTAGTTTACATTGAGATTAAAATCCAAAAGCAGCTTCTTAGCTAAAACATGTGGCTGAACAGTGTTGAATGCAGATGAGAAATCTAAAAACCTTCTAGTTTAGCAATTCTTCAACTCTGACCAAGCGAATGTGCTCGGTTGGCCAATATTACACAGACTAATGCACTGTAGGATGGATATGTAATGTGACTGTACCGTAACACTAAGTTAAAACATTGTTTGTGAACAAGTCATGGCATTAATATATTTCTATTAAGGTGTTTTGGTAAATTAGATTTTTTTCACATGTAAACTTCCCAGAAGTTGCTTTTAACTGTCAAGTTATGCAGGTGGTTATTCCCATGTGTCGCGCACACAGCATCATTAATGGAGCAGACTAATAGAGAAGTGTATTAGTTATGCAGTATACACACCTGAAAGCTGTCATTTATATGCATTTTATATATCAGGGTTAGACTGATATATTGTAGTATGTTAGATGGAAAAAGTTGTGTATTAACAATAGAGTCCAATGAAGTCCTCAGGTACACTGTCTGACCTACAGTCCAAAACACAGATACTGAAATTATAATTTTATAGAAACAGTGAATGTTTGGTATTTTTGGTTAATAAATTACCTAAATTAATAGGTTATCAAAATTGGTGTTTTCTGTTAATTGACTAATAGTTTTAAGATTAGATCACTTGGTGGCGTTTATGTTATTTTTCATGCTGGAGTTTGTAATTATTCTGATTTTTAGATTCAAGTTTCAGATGCTGTTCCGCTGTGACAAGAATTCCGGGGGAAATACTTCATCAGATTTTTAATTTTAATGAATAATTTTGCTTGCCACAGGGATGGTTACATTTGAATACATTGAATATCTGTACAAAGTGTCATCTAATGGCACCTTGAGCACCTGCCTGTGTTGGTATTGGCCTTTCGTAGTCCATATAGACCACACCCTGTTATGCTGGCACTCAAACACACATGTGCGCCACACACAGATGCACACAATGCCCGGTGAACAACTTGTCGCAGATATTGGCACTTTGATGACAGGCAGCATCAAATAGTGAAAAGTTTGAGGAAACTGGCGAACTGTGTGTCTCTGTGGGGGCAAAGAGAGGCTGTTCATTATTGGATTTGTTGAAATGTGTGTGTGAGGAGCCATTTTAATTATGTGCTGCTGTGGTTTGGGGTCTTCCCCTCTCTCTCTCTCTCTCTCTCTCTCTCTCTCTCTCTCTCTCTCTCTCTTTTTCTCTCTCTCTCTCTCTGTCTCTTTTTCTCTCTGTCTCTCTGCTCTACTTGGTCCAGATGACGTCCCTCCTCCTCGTTATTCCCCCTCTTGGCCGTTCCCGTGACAACTCTCCCGGCCGTTAATCGCCGTGGAGACGGACAGAGAGGGATCAAACGAAGGAGGGAGAGCAACTCAAATTGGCTCCACATTGGCCATGTGATCTTTATACCACTCTGGCTCCCTCTCTGTCTCTTACCTTCGCTTTCTTTTCCTTTTTACCTTTCCTCAATATTCCCCCCTTAACTTTCATTTCTCCCTTTTTCACTCTGTCTGGTCTGTTTTCTCCCTTCTTTCACTGTTCCTCTCTCCTGCCTCTCATGCTTCTTTCTGTGTCCCCACATCCCTCTAGTATTTGTCTTCCTGTCCGTCTTTCCTTTTCTTTATCTCTTTCTCTCCTGTCAAATTTTGCTCAGTTCTCTTTACTCCCCATCCCTGTCTACTGTTCTCTTCCTCTGACTTTCTCTCTCCTTTCCCTCCTTTCACTTTCAATGACCCTCTCTCTCTCTCTCTCTCCCTCTCTCTCTCTCGCCCACCCCTTCCCTTTGTTGCTGCAGTATGAGCTCACCAGTATTGAGCTGCACCAGACAGACTTACTGTAGGTTTGTCCCCATAGTCCTACCTGGCAATTCACTGCTAAGTTTGATTTCAGTGCTCCAGGATGCATGCACTCATTAATGGCTATACTTACTTTTTTTTAGGATTTTTGCTAGTTGCTGTCACAAAATGATTGGCACCGACATCATGTCCCCATTCTGACATATGTCTCTGTCTTGTAAATGCTTTGGCATGCTGTTTAATTGTACGTAATTACAAAGAACCAAGAATCTACAGCAAGTCCAGTTGTCTTTGACTCTTCCCAGACAAACTCCCTCTTTTTAGTTCTATGTCATGTCGATTTACATTGTCTATATTGCATTTCATACCAATCAACTGTCCACAGCCTTAAGTTGGCTTGTTGTCTGGCCAGCTTCCCTTGCCTCCCTTGTAAACAAAACAAATTACCTCTTTAGAGAAAGCAGAAAAGAAGTATGTAAAAGTTATTTTTTCATCGTCTATTTCAGTGACTACTGTCACTTCTATAATCTGATTATAAGAAAAACAGGAATCATCACCCGTCTTGCCTAAAGATATCTTGACATTTGATTTACCTGAACACATGAATGGAAAGTTAACACTTTGTATGTCCTGTTTTTCGGTTTCCTTTTGCCGTTTAAAATTAAAGTAGTGGAGATACCCAGAGGTTCAACTTGCATTTTCTGTGTGGCCTGACCTTGGAAGTTATTCTGACCCTGAGCCACAGCTTATCTGAGACACACTTATGAAAGCTGAATGCTGTGGGACCTGATGTTAGTTACTGTGTTATTTATTTAGTTGAGGACTTTACTGAAGCAGTAGGTGTTGACCTTATAACCACTACTGTATGTCCCATTGTTAACCTAAAATTTACTTATTGGCTTATCCCCACATTTTACTATTATTATCAGTATTATACTTATTTGTGGCTTGTTCAGAGTTGATGGATGACACCATGTTTCCAAATTAGTAATTAAATGGGTAGCTAGCTCTGCGGTTAATAACTCATTATTAAGTACTTAAATTAATTAGCATATCACTGACTTTGACACCTACTTAATAATGTGTTAAAACATTTGTTAATTTTTAATCGCTAGGCAATTAAGCATTCATTAGTGAACAATAATTTAAAGTGTTACCCAATGAGCACATAATCAAAGAGAGTGAACCATATCAGAAGAGGATGACACTGGTTGAAGTGTGATTCTTAGTAAAAGGCCAAGCTCTAACCTCTGTAGAGACATGTTCTCTCTCCGCTGTTGAACAACCAACTGGTAGTCATGTTCAGACACAGACTGAGCTCCATCTGTGAGGTTCAGCCTGTGCCTAAACTAACCGCTGTCACGACCGGGATGAGAAGAGATAAAATACACTGTGTCGTTGCCTTAAGCAGAACTACAGAGACAAGATGTGGTTGATTATTTTAAGCACCCAGAATTGTCATACAGCAGCGATTTCAAGTACAACAGAAGTGGGACTGATTAACGTAATTTGTAGTGCTGTGGTTGGATCAGACTAGCTAGCACGGCCGGTCTGAGCCAAAGATTAAACATAACCTCTCTAGCTGTGGTCATGTCTAAGTAATAAGAGAGAAAACGTGTGTTTTGCCTTTAAAGCAATGCAGTAAGTCACTGTTCACCTCACTTGTGTAATGATAAAAACACAAATACTAAAATAATTTATGTGTCCTTTTTGATCAATAGCTTGAGTCCTTTGAGGTCACTAGATTTAGTTACTTACACTGTGAATTTATCTGTCTCAAAAACATGTTGCAAAATCTGATTAAAGAAAATCAACAATATGATGTCTGTGTGAAAATTGGATTATAAAAACACCATTTGCATTGCAAACACTATGTTTTACTGTTTTCTTTTTACTTTGAGGGACATAATCAGCAGCTCTTTTGCATTTTGTCTCCACTTTACTCCTCATTTTCTGTAAATGGAAGCGTAATCTGAACTGTCCTTGCCTCAAGAGGATTTATAAACTGTGGTGAACAGTGTCCTCTTGCAGCAAGAGACAGAACACATTTTGGATTATCATGCACATAAAAGCTGTCTGCTCTGCTTTTAAAAAACGTGTGTATTTTTTGGGATGAAAATAGGCCCCAGTAGTCCTCTACGCTTGCATGATAGAATAGTCTGTGTTGAATGGCAGCAGTAGATTTTCAGACCTTGTTATCAAAACAGGAACCTTAATTAAAGCCTAATGTATCAAATAAGCTCCAGTCAAGTCAGTCTATCAGCATTAAATTCCAGTTAAACACACCTCAGAGGTCGTCATGAGTCTGTCAGCAGGACAGAGCTGCAGTCGACTTTTTCCTCATGATGCTTCTTCTGCTGTCACTGCTGTCAATCATCCCTCTCGCTCTCCTCTGGCCCTGTGGCAGGCTGTTAACGGATATCAGAAACCTCTCCATGCATCAACATTACACATAATAACAAACCTCCCTCTCTCTCTGTCTTTTGTTTCTCTCTCTGTCTCAGCTCGCTCGCCGGTGTTCAGTGCCATGTTTGAGCACGAGATGGAAGAGAGTAAGAAGGTGAGTCGAGCACTTGACTCTGTTGTTCCTGCTCCCTCAGTGGTGACTCGAATGTCTAAATTCTAATCTTTCTCTCTGTTGCGTCAGGAAGTCCTCACCTCTTAAAACATCATAGTGTGTCTGCATGTGTTCCTTCATGTCTTGTTGGCTGCAGTTCTATTATCTGGTGTCTTTTAAGCCACTGTGTAGATTTTTATATGTGATTATATCATCTTTGAAATTATTCTGAAGGTGCAACGGGTTGTTTGTAGACAACTTTAGAGCTGCTCAATACTGGATATTTGAGGTTGAAACCAGTGTCAGTATTTAAGAATACAGTATATTGTACGATATTTATTTTTTATATATGAGACATACATTAGCACATAGCACAAGTATTACTTTAATTGATGTGACCACTATTTGTGCATTTTATGGTTAATAATATTAGTGTAAATAAACTTGTGAAAGCCCTCTGGTGGACAAAATGTTATGGTATCTTAGTTTTGCATAATATATCTTTGGCATTCCTGTCCTGCAATCTCATGTTGAGGTCTGGTGTCATCAGCATTTAGATCGACAAAGCTTTGTGGTTCGTAAACTAACTAAATAAGTTCAACTGATTGATTAACTTTACCACACTTGTTTTTACCGTTGACCAATAGCAAGCTGTCTTGACAGTGCTGATGGAAGATACAAAATGGAGGAAGTTATTGTAGCTGTCTAGCTGTGTTACACCCTCCTGAGTCAAAAGTACAAATATGTCTTTTGAATAAACTCTGTGAACTTACTGTCTTGTTAATCGTTTAGGAACTCTTTATTAAATGAAATGTTGTGACTGGTTAGCCTGTTAGCAGTTATCTTAGCAGCTACAGTAATTCAGCAAATAGCCCTGCAAATTATTCAATCACCAAGCTCCTAGAACCAAATATTTTACCAAGAAGCCGGATGAATTTCACAGTGCCACTTTCTGACGGGACTGAGCATTAACTGGGAATTAACTTACTGTACATGCCAACACAGACATTCCTGTAATAAGCTGATATTGGCTGACAACATCGACTGATTTATCAATTGAGTTCTCTTCTGCACATAGTGGCTTGAAATTAAGTAAACGATTTAAGTGAAAGCAACCACAAGATATTTCTCAATAGATATATACTCAATGCAGTGTTCTTTTTCACAGCAGCCATTTTGACATGACATCGTAGGGTAAACACAGACGTTACCGATGATATTAATTAAGGTTCTGTTCCAAATAGAGTCAAGGTGATGTTATTGTGCATGTTAGGCTCTGCTACACTAAATGGAACAGAACTTTAATTACTATCACCTGTGATTACCCTACTATACTATTTCTAATATTCTGAATTTCTCCTAAGGGGGATCAGTAAAGGAATATCTTATTTCATGTCAAAATGGCTGCTGTTAAAAAAGTCTATTTGCATAGAACAATATTCAAACCATTCCATCCATTGTGTGTGCTCTACTTAACACAATTGAGTTCATTGCACGTAACAATCTTTAAAGTGTGTTCAGACAGAATTTGAACGGTGAACATGTAAATCTTTCAACACTGTGTGTGCATCTTTGCTTTTTTGATGTGTCCTCTGTGATATTTGTGTTCGTCTGTGTGTATTTTTCCATGTCTGTGCGGGCGTACGCACGTGTGTGATGCAGAGAGCCCTCGTGCCACAGTTGGTTGTGTTCATCTGATAGGAGGTGGTGAGATTGAACCTTGGTGATTTAGCCGTCATGTCAGCGGAATATTGATGCCTGCATGGCTCGAATGGGGAAATTATAAAGCACAGAGCCAGGAAATGCATCTTAATTGCTGTTTAAGTGGGTGTCTTCATCAGAAAGAGGGAGAGATGGTGGGCCACGTCCCCATACAATTCAGAGAAAACAGATAGATGGGTTAACACTCCTCTGCAGCACTCTATAGAGGAGAGACAAATGAGCTCATAAAGAAACACTCTAATAGAGGACTGCTCTGTGAATAGACGGGAGCTTCACTGTAACTACACAAACGTGTATTTATGAGACACTTGCCTTCGCAATACTGAATGAAGTCCTGTTAGTTTTTCCTAATTTGTTCAATTTTTATTTCATAAACAATCCAACTCACTTTACTGTCGAAAATAAGCTAAATAAAATTAGTGAAGTTTAGCTCTCCTGTATGTCAAACCCACTTCATATTCTGGATTGTGTACTAACAGTAAAAATAAGAAAGCACATGCTGTGATGAGAAATGTTTTTTTTTTTCCAAGCTGACGTTAGAGGTTATACATGCTACTAGATGTCGCACTAGAGCACAGCATCTCAGACTAAGTCATTTTACCTCGTATAATCGTAGAACTAACTTAAAACTGGACAGAATCAAAATAAAACTCACAAAAACCTTTTCACCAATTACCACTGCTGGTTTGGTCAAAATAAACCCTAACTACACTGAGTTAGATGTGAAAATGTGCAATAACGATTGCAATGGCAGCAACATAACAAAACCTTTGCGCGCCCGTCAATGTACGTCCATTAACAGTGCTTGTTTTTGCCCGACAGACTCAGATTGTTATTATAATTGTCTGACAACATTATGGAAGGGATCCCTACAGAGATAGTCCACTTTGTTAGAGACTAAGATCCTTTTTGTTTCACCAGAAACAGCTGTTACATTGCCACTGCTCGCCACCAGACTCCATAGACTTAATTTTACCTTGCAGATCATTGTAACTTTTGAACTTCATTTAAAGTGGACAAAATTAAAACTCACCAAAACTGCCTTTGGTATTCTTTCCACTGTTCCAACAATCACCAACTCTGGTTTGGTCAAAATAAATCAGACGTAGATGAGAAAACCAGCAGTTTCAGTCGCTTCAGTTGTTAACTCTCATATATATATAACCTTTCATATATAAAGAATATGTACATGCAGATTATATGTACATAATGTAGCGAGTAGAGGATTCATGTTTTTTGGTTTACCTGTTTTAACTGTTTGAGCAATGTGTGTGCCGGCATGCTTTCTTGTGTTTATGTGTGTTATCTGTATGCCTGTAGAAGGACGCTATAACAGACTGCGTGCTGTAAGCTCCACCCGGCTGCTTTCAGACCTTCCCTCCATTATTTCTCAGTGTGTTTATGTTGCTGTTGAGTGGTCAGAGTTGACACAAATGCACTAAGCTGTTGGTACACCCAGCCTGACCCCTCTAAAGCGCCGCCGGTCACCGTGGTGACGATAAAGCACTGTTATAATTGGTTTACTGCTTTGTTCTGCCTCTCAGTGCGGAGGGAAAGGTTCAGGTTACCGTCACTGTGCCAGCGAGTGATAAAGCCTACTTTGCTGGCTGCAGGCACTGTCAAGGAATGAATGCTCAGGATTAATTTTCAGGAATCAGCTGAAAAGAATTAAATAAATGTACTAGAATGTAGTTTTACTGAAACGTGTTCAGACTGTTCAGAAGTTTTTTTTTTTTTTTTTTTCTTATTTGGCACTTGGAGCTTGTTTAGTATCACTCTATGGCTGACTGTCCCTGTGTGTATGCTAAACAAGGTGAGTGATTTTAATTCAGGTAGGTTTTGGGATATTCACATGAAAAAAAAAAACCACTCTGCTACTGCGCATGGTTTTAAAGGATTGTCAAAGCATCTGTCTTTTTCTTCTCTTGCCTTTTATTCTTTTAAACCCTCTGTGTATTATCCTCTCCTGTCCTCTCCTCCCGTTCAGAACCGTGTGGAGATAAATGACGTGGAACCAGATGTCTTCAAAGAGATGATGTGCTTCATCTACACAGGCAAGGCCCCCAACCTGGACAAGATGGCTGATGACCTGCTGGCTGCAGCTGACAAGGTACAGAGAGTGGGAGTGTATGTGTGCACCTGTTACTATGTACAATTACACACAAGCTGATATGCATAATAATGCCCCTAAAAATACACCTGAGAAACACCAAGTGCTCCTCAACCCCCGAACACACACACACACTTTAATCACATTCAAACACAATTTTGTAGGAAAATATAAACCCTCCTACATGTGGAAGGTAAAGAGATGCACACAATTACAATGTATCCTATTTGTCATTGTTTTTTCCTGTGCTGATGCTGGATACTCAGTGTTTTCTATCCATTCCACATTTTTACTCCTCCACTCTCTTTCTTCCAGTTTTGCTCTCATTGTTTGTTGAGTTGTATTTTCAAAAATGTCCAACTTTTAATGGCTCACAGCAGGTCCATCTAGATGTGTTTGGACTGAAACAGACAAATATACGCTAGTTAGTACTAAAAATACATTGGTCTAATGGTTGGTCCACCACTTTAGTTCAGAGAATAATATCTCAAAAACTATTGGATGGATTGCCGTGAAATGTTGTACGGACATTAATAGTCCCAGAGGATGACCTGAATCTTCTTCTAGTGCCACCATTGACATTTTTGTTTTTCAGTGATGTATCTCCACGGTATTTGATGGATTGGCACACAATTTTGTACAGATATTTGTGGTTCCCATATGTCTATCAAACAAATGACATAACCATTAGCCTCAACTGTACTTTGTCTTTTAATGAGCAAAGGGGATAAATGTTTTAAGTACTAAACATCAGCATGTTAACATTGTGAGGAATGCAGCATGTTGAGGTTTGCTTTTAGCTCCAGCCTCTAAGACCTGCTAGCATTGCTGTAGACTCTTAGTTTTATGTTTATGTTTACTGCAATAATCTTGTGAAAAGAGTTTTAAAGACTCAAGAACAACAAAACTATTTTATTAGTAAGTAAAGTCTAGACATGCTCTGTTTCCTCACCTCACTTCAGCTTCGCCTTCACGCTTGAGTTCTGCCATTATTTCAAGTTTGGTAGCACAGCACAGCACAACTCTTATTTAGTGGAGGTTCATTTAAATTAACTCCATTACATCATTAGTGTTCGTAAATACCCTGCTAAATTGAAAAATTGCGGTGACGCAAAATTCCCCGTAGTCTCTGCTGAACCCTATCGACTCATCCTGTGTGTATCACTATGAGAGCAGATTATTGTTCCTATGGCAATTTTGTAATCAGACTCAGTGGAAATAATTTTTTACCTCTCAAGTGATCCCGTTTCCCATCATCATTCCCCCTCCGTCTGCATAACTGTCACTTTTACTTTTCTTGGCCATGTTTTTTTCTTATTCAATCTTAGTCGTGTTGCCGCTGCGGTGGAGTAATTCTGTGTTTCCGTATCATTACACAGTGCGACAACAGTTGTTGGTGGCAGCGCTGTTTAAGTAATTTAGTTTACCTGCTGTTTCCCCTCTCGCTCTCTCGCTCTCCCTGTCATTGGCAGTATGCTCTGGAGAGGCTGAAGGTGATGTGCGAGGACGCTCTGTGCACAAGTCTCAGTGTGGAGAACGCCGCAGACGTCCTCATCCTCGCCGACCTGCACAGCGCCGACCAGCTCAAGACGCAGGCCGTGGACTTCATCAACTAGTGAGTTACACGCCTGCACTGAGATCCTTCATCACCAGAACTACTTCCACACTTATGCTTACAATTTTGTTCTGTTTCACACACACACAAACACACACACACACACACACACACACACACACACACACACACACACACACACACACACACACACACACACACACACACTTGTACACTTAGCTTTTCGTCAAAGGAAGTCATTAATTTTCAGTGGGAGCAATTTTTGTCTCCTGAGGAAATTTAATTTAATCCCCAGATCGGACCATTTTGCTTCTGTACCATATTGAGCCATTTAGCAATAAAGCTCAGCTGCTGATGTTAATCATGTTGCAGGACGCCTGTTTAGGTAAGATGGGGCCCATTAGTATCAATGACTGCTATTTATGTTCATGGAGAGGTGATTGATCCAGTATTTGAATGCCCAGTTGAAACAAAAATCTTTCTCTCAGTCACTACCTAAATGCTTCACCTCCCCCACTGTTTTCTGAATTCTCTGTCTCTGAGTCGGACACATTTTCCATTTCTTCATTCATGCCTCTGTCCTTTTCTTTACAGCTTCACTCCATCTCCTGGTCTCGTTCCTGCATGGGCTCCTTCTCCCTCCCTCTTTCATTTACTCCTATATCTCCCCTCCCTTTTCTCCCCTTTCTCCCCCTCCTGTTCTGTGCTTAAGAGCTCATGTGTGCCTAAAGGTGTTCAGTAATGCAGATTCTGCCCCTAATCCCAGTCATTAATTGTGGTTATGGGCGTTATGACAGTTTAATTTGCGACAGCGATGTTGTGGTGGGGAGAAAATTGGCCACGGGGGACTCCCGGGCCAGCAAAGCGTTATCAACCCTCCTCCTGCGGACACAATGGACGGCAACAAGAGCAACAAAACAAAAATCAATTTAGAGGACGAATATAGAAAACAAGCGACACAGAGGAACCAATAATCCTCCCCCCAGTAGCACCTCAACCTCTTTCCAGACCAGTCTTTACAAGCAGCTTACAGTCATTTAGTTGAGACAATAGGAGTCCTCTTTATCTTACCTCTGTGTCATTTATTTATCCTCTCCAGGGATGTAGTGGAGAGTAAAGCCACCCAAACACTCTTTATCCACTTTGTTTATAGAAAAGAGTTTCCACACTTTTTTTTGCCTAACATGAATCTTTAGGACTGAGTAAATGTATTGAATAAATCGCAGTAAGTTGTGCAAATGCGACGTGAGTAATATGAAGTAATGGCCTTCTAAGGCAGAAAAAAATAGGGCTTTTCTGAAAGTAGTTTTCAGTTGATAATAGTGATGGTTTGCCTTATGATTACCACAGACTGGAGGTCATAGTTTGGCCTCTTTTTAATTTACCTTCACATTGCTGATCCTTGCTCTCCCTCGGTCCCCTCCTGTGCCTCACTGCAGACTTTCATCACTCTCCCTTACCTTCCTGTTTTTATTTATTTATTTATCTTTTTGGTCACTGCTGCTGTCTTTCTCTCTCTCTCTCTCTCTCTCTCTCTCTCTCTCTCTCTCTCTCTCTCTCTCTCTCTCTCTCTCCCTCCTCCTTCCCCTCCTGCTGTGGCTGCTCTCCTCGTGCTCTTTTGCTGGCCTGTTGCCTGAGCCTCCTCACACCGGCCATTACTGTAAGCAGGGGTTCACTTCCTCCACAGAGGATAGGGTCAGAGGTTGGCTGGAGGTCTAGAGCTGCTGTGTGGAAAGCATTTGACCATACACACACACACACACACACACACACACACACACACACACACACACACACACATACATACACAAACACACACACACACACACACACACACACACACACACACACACACACACACACAAACACACCCAAGTGCCAAGAGTAGACATGCCAAGACACAAACACACGTGAACACACACACACACACACGCACACATGCTGTTTATTTACACACAATAAAACATGAAAAATGTCATTAAAGGCCACACAGCGGTGTGCGTGATAGTGCAGCCCAGCACCCTGAGGGTGTCAGGGGGTTGAAGACTGCCACAGGGTCTGCTGGTGGAAACTCACATCTGTGGGAGATGATGACCGCGAGTTAAACTTAATTACAAGAGTTACCCAAAATTGTTTTCACTTTCTGGCTTCCATTAGTTCGTTAATCACTATGGCTGAGGCTTTACATTCGCATAACCACATGGAATCCAAAGAGAAAAATACTATTGATTTTAAAAGAGGACCTCTCATATCTTAATTTTTAATGGCAAACAAAATAAAAAGATAGAAAAAAAGATAAATTAGAAATCAGTAATTAATGTGTTAAGTTTCTCATTAATATTCAGCCATGTGCATTTAGGAGCAACTATTGTTAGAAATTGAATATAATATTGATTGGTTTCATTAGTGTATAATCACCTGAAAATAAGAATCGTTGTGTTTTCGTTACCTTAGAATGATCCGTTTTTAGTCTGCCATGTTTCTACAGTAGCCCAAGACAGTCAAACCAAACAATGAGTGTAGATAGCTGTAGACAAGTTTCACAGCCATGGTAGTGTCTCGCACAGGCTTGGAAGGCGAGCGGTATTCAGTTAGTTGCAATCTGCAACTTTATAGCTAGATGCCTCTGAATCGCACTGGTCCTTAAAGTAAAAGCAGAAATACCACAAAGTGAAAATAAAAAAGTATTATCTGCAAAGTGTACTTTAAGTATTAAGTACTAACAATATTATACAGTATACCATATACAGTATTAGTATTATTAATATTAGTGGTAGTAGTAGTACTATAGCAAAAAATGTGTACTATTTTAATGTTGTAAAAAGTAAAAGCAAAAAAGAAAAAGTAGTATAAGTTATTATTACTCTAAAGCCTGGCGGTCCCTAAGGGGTTGCAAAATGAATCTGAGGGGCTGTGAAGTAATTAACAATATAGAAGAAATTATGTGTTTATTCATTCATCACTTTTTTCTCAAATTGTGTGAAATGCTGTGGAGGATGACCTCCTCTTGACTCTAAAAACTATTGAAATTGAAACAATGTGTGAAGGGAACATACAGTTGAATCTCACAGCTCATAGCTGTATGTAGTGTGTGAAGAGGTGTCGCAAGTAGGCATTGGCTATAAAGGTCACAAGCCAAAACGGTTTAGAACCAGTGTTATAAAGAATATGATATGATATGAAATTATATGACAAAACTATGACTCAACAGACTTTCTCATCACATGCCCACATATTTATGATCATTGAACGTTGCCTTTTATTTGTGTGATGTTATTTCTCTCAAAATGACCTTTGGGGTTAAATATTTAAAAATATAAAGTAAATAACAGCTCTGCCAGCTGGTATGACAAATCCTTAATGTCTCAGAGCTGCACTCCACACAGATGGAGTCATATAATCCCAAGCACTTGAGAAACTTGTACATTTGTGCACTTATTTTATTTGCTCGTCCATTTCGTTTCTCTAACATGTTTCCCACTTTCCTGTCTTTTGCCCTCTTTTCTCTCAGTCACGCAGCTGATGTGATGGAGACATCTGCCTGGAAGTCCATGGTGATCTCTCACCCACACCTGGTAGCAGAGGCCTATCACTCCCTGGCCTCGGCTCAGTGCCCCTTCCTGGGTCCCCCGAGAAAACGTCTCAAACAGTCCTAGTGGTGCGGAGAGACTCTCCTGTCCTGGCCCTGCTGTGTCCTCCTGTACCAGCGACCTCACTGCTCCTCCCTCCCAGTCCTCCTTTCTCTCCTACAGCATCCAGACTGAAACCCCTGGCCTGATATAGCTGAGGGGAGCTACTCAGCTGGGCAGACAAGAGAATTACAGGACTGATGCCACAGAGGAGCTATCTCTGTAGGTGGGGATGGAATGAATTCTATAAGATCTAAACGTGGATATTTATGGTTTGCAAGCTCAAAACCTTGCGTATTCCAAATATCCTTTATCTACAATATTGGAAAGCTAGAACCATAATCTGCGAGTCAGTCGCGTAAACAACTGATCTTCTCGCCCGGAAGAAAAGGCACTTCTGACTTCCTGTAAATACAATTTTGTGGCATATTGTCTTGTACAGTGTCTCGAATGTTAAAGCCCAAACTGTGCTTATAAAAGGACAAGTGAAGAGGATCAACCAACCAGGAAGTGAAAGACTACTGTTTCCATTGTTGTTGATTTAAACAGTGTTTGCACAAAGTATTGTTTTTATACAGCACAAAGATATCTCAGTTTGAATGAAAGAAAACAAATCTGAACACGTTTTAATGTTCACTATTTAGCCTGTGCCTTAAACCGGCCAAACACTGTACGGGTGGTTAAGTCAGATTTTCGCCCCGGTTGCCCTGATTCTAAAATAGGGCTAAATTTCTGCCAATCGGATGTGAATTGACATGCAGTTTGATGGGGGATCACGATACAACATTAATTAACTGAACAATCAACGATCTGACTTGTCAGATTGGTTGGATTTCTGGCATGTCAGAAATTGTGGTCTGCTGTCTGGGAGTTTGAGCAGTTTAACAGTCTGATTTCCCTCATGGCTGCTGTCAAAATATCCATTATGCTGCTTTTAATATATTTTGGAGAAGTGTTTTACATGTTGTGGCTAAAACTGTATTCTTGACTGAGGCTATAGATATACTGCTATACTGTGATATAAAACTGAACTGTGCTGCAGAACAGACTGACCATATTGTCTGCATCTTCCAGCCATCTGCAGCTCCATATTTTTCTTTTTTTATTTCCATTCATAGTATAATTGCACAAAACTAGTCCTGGATTTCGCTCATTAGAGGAAGTTGTCTTCATTAAACTTTCTTCGAATTGTCACTGGAAAAAAAATGGCGGCTGTTTCATTGACACATCCAGTGTGAACATTAAAGTCCACATTAGGCCAGGTTCTGGCCATGTGGAAAGGCAGATTAACTTGAGTAGTGTGAGAACACAACGTAGAAGATGAATACAAACACACAGTGTCTGCCTGGCTGTAAAAAAAGATCATCAAATGATCTGATTTTTACTCACCTGTTACCACAATTCATTCCCTGTGACTGAATCAATGTTTTGGCCTCTGAACCTTTAAAATACAGATGTTTTGAATTTTGTCCAGCATGCCTGTGTCTTCTTTCGTCTTTGATATCTTCATCACTGTGCAGTTTGGCCACATCCACCAGTTACTGACTCATTAATGAACAGCCTCTTTCAACTTGCCGCCAGATCAGTGTGTGTGAGTAACACATTTCAGTTTCAAGCTTAATCCTCTCATGATCAAAGTTCAGTCCCCCGGTGCACGTGCTGCTCACCTCGTCTGATCACAAGAGCTCATATACAGCTGTGTCGTATGTAGACTCAGCTCTCACTCGTGGTCACAGGCCTGTTTGACTTTGTCTCAGTGGCCTTGCTTAGAGAATAGATAGGTTGTAATCACTTCAGAGAGAGCTGGGCCTTTCTCTTGGACAGTATTTTAACAGGGATTTCTCTGTGTTGACCAAAGTCGAAGCCCAGCGGGCTTTAAGGAAGCTCATCCCTGAGCCCTGAAAATCGCTCCTCATCAAACAGTCAGCCCTGGCCGGCGATCATTGGGGATATTCTGGCATTGTCCCGGCACTCATCAAACAGAGGAAAGGCCATTATTTGTGATACACACAGTACACTGTAGAATCCTGACAGACCACATATTAGGAGGAGTGATGATTCAATTACATTATTTATATTTATGGAGCCGCAACTAAATGTGAAGATATTGTGATCGATGTGTGCTTCAGTGCAAATGAAGAGCATTATTTTTGAATGAACCAGTACTAAGAAGGTGAGCTGGGTAGTATATGAGAATGGATTAAGAGACTTTGATATGATTGTTGTCTAGGGTTGTTGTTGTAACCCATTTCGAAGTATAGGTTACATTTGTGTTTTCCTGGTCTTTAAGGTTTAGTGACACTGAAGTGCCTGAGCATATTTGACTGTTTGTATCGGAGTTCACACCTCACATTACTAGTGGGTACACCCTTACAATATTGTTCTTTTTTCCCTGCTTACCTTTGTGTATTTAACTTTATTCGCACTGTCGGTGTGTTGTGTTTGTGTTTTAATAAACTGCCAGATGGACCAAAGACACTTATCCATCTTGATGGACAATAAAGTTGTACCCTTTAGTGCTCCCTAAAATATTGTCACATTATAGTGCTGGGTGATTTGACACAAGTCAATATCACACATACAGTTTGTTAAACAAATTTGTAGATATTGGTATGTCTCACAATATGGTAAATAGAAGAAAAATACATAACAAATGATGAAATTGATTAAAGATTTAAACAGAAATATGTTAAATCATATGACCATGATGATGTTTCCTGTAAATGAGAAGGACAAATTATAATGTAGTCCACCACGACCTTCAACTACGACATCAATAATAAATATATAATCAAACTTGTGAATTTCCTACAATTTCACGGAAGTTTGACCATTATTATCTTGAAATAGATGTTATGGAAGAATATTAGTATGGGATTGCGTTATATTGTAAAGATGTATTTAATAAAGTTGCCACTGAGTGTGTATACTGCGTATCTGCAAGGCCAACCATGTACTGGCTATTTTAAAAACCTTGGCAGTGGAGACACTACTAGTATAGAGCTGAAAACAGGGTTTTAATAGCTTACTCTTCATAATGCCTGATAACCTCACAGCCAATATTTCTGAGTTTGAGAGTTTCCCTTTAAAGGTCAAGGTGTGTGTGCATGTGTGTTGGACTAAGAGTGTGTGAACGTGGGAGGCATATGGTGCTCTATAAGTGGACACGCATGTCAGCACATGTGCTTTTTTGGGAATGTCCCTGAGATAGGAAGAGGCTTTATTCACTTGAGTCTGTCCTGCCAGTGTGACCTTCTTCGTATGAGCTGGAATTTGAGGCATCAGGGTGTGATTTTTTTTCTAGCTTTGATAGTCAGCTTGTGTAGCAGCTTGCAGCCAACCTTCTGTGTCTTTGTAAAGATGTGTGTGTGTGTGTGTTTGTGTGTGTCTCCATTGGCCTTAGATGAGACAGTCAGGGGGAGATAGATGGAGCGATGCATGTGGAGAGGCGTACTCAGTTGTTATGCATGCTGTATGAGTCTGTCACTCCCTCCCTCCTCCTCGCTCTTCCTCATGTGCCTCTGCCTTGCCTCCCCATCATTCACTCCTCCTTTTATGGGAGGAAGGAGAGCAAGGCGTGGCAGGTCAGTGCTGAGAAAGCCTGTGACAAGCTCTGCGTCTGTGTTAGCCTGCCATCACGAAGAGGACGAAGAGCCGCGCTGAGATTGATGCTTGCTGGTCTGCTCTGCCAAGCAGCAGTGAGGAGAGAGAGAGAGAGAGAGAGAGAGAGAGAGAGAGAGAGAGAGAGAGAGAGAGAGAGAGAGAGAGAGAGTGTTTGGTGGGTGTCGGATTTTCTTACTTTTTTGAGTTCAGGATCTTGATATTTAAACCTCAACTATTTTTATGTCAATGCCACCCACTTGTCACAGACTCTAGCGCCTCTATGAATATAAATATTGTTGTAATTTCACTTGAATATTTGACTTTCTCTTATGTCCAAGAGAAACTAAAAAGACAACCTCAACAACACTATGACTACTATCTTGTTAAAATCCATAGGGCAGGTGTATATCTGCTGTACCAGTGGAATTAGTCTTTAACTAACTCCTACACTCTTCAGAAAGACATTAAGGGAACATGGTGGCTTTACCACTTTTTCACTGGAAAAAATTGGCTGCCTCCAGCATCTGGACCGAAATCTATTTATTAAATCTGCACTCATTCATTTGTTTTTGGCCAGTTGGGGGCAGGACAATAGACTTTAAACACAATATTTACATATTATGATCTTATAAAGCTGGTATGGTGAACTTGTTAGCCTTTTTACACATTTAGTGTACATAGAGCAGCATTACCATTCATCTGGAGTCATGTTGGTGTCCACCTGCAGAAGTCCAGTATTCTCCTATTATTTCTGCTTTGGTCTCCACCGACTTCTGAGGAAAATGCTGCTAAGTACTCCACTTTGTTCACCAGATAGTTACCAACTTTCTGTCCACTGTTTGGTGCTGGACAGGTAGTGTAAAGTGGGCTTATCAGAGCTTTATCACTGAAAACTGCAGCTTGAAACGAGGTTGATGAGAGCACAGACAGTTATAATCGCAGGATGTAAAAACAAATAAAATGAGCTGAAAGATACTAAAACTCACCACAGAGATAACAGGAACTACAACGTTGGCAGATAATTCTCTGTAGATTTGTAAGGACAAGCAATATTTTTTGTCATACGATCTATTTTACTGTAAAAAAAATAATGATTATAGCAGCTTTAAATTTCTAAATTTCAATCTATTAAATGTAATGAGACACATGTCAGAAAAACATAATTTGCTTAGAGTTTTTAATTAGCTCTTACATGTGTCTAAGGAGTTGCCTGGCTACTTATATGCACCAAAAATTATATATTTATAAAGCAGACTGGATAGATGACTGTACTGGAAGAATCCCTTGTCAATTAAGAAACCCATACCCTTTATTAATTAAGTGTTCATTTTCTAATAGGCCCTTAAACTATAAAGTACTAATAACTGATTTGGTCACATTAGTAGAGCCATTAGTTTCAATTTATAAACCCTTTATAAACTTTGCTTCATTAAAAAAAGGTTCTACCCAATCATGTGAAGCCACCAGAATAGCACTGCCTAATGCTGCATTAGTGAGAGCACATTATAACCTTTGTGAGGAGATATTTGACCATATATCCCTCATGATATTCCAAGTAATCCACTCAGTCAGTATCATCTGTGACAGGGGAGGGGAGCTCAGGCCTTGGGGCAGAGAAATGGAAGGATGAAGTGACAGGGGTAATGGATGGATAGAGGGATGAAGAGTGATTGGGTGTCATACAGGTGGGATAGGGCCAGACAGATAGTGAATGAAGGTGCGATGGAGGATGGATGGCCGGAGCACCTCAGACATTGACAGCGTTGAGAGATTTGTCTTCTTTGTACTCCATTTGTCTTGTTTCTCCGTCTCCACTGTGTCCGAGTGAGTTAAATTACATAAAACTATTTACTCTGACAATTCAGCAGCAGCAGTAGTGGCGGTCGATGGTTTTGCTGTGATACTGTACCTGCGTCTGAGTGTTGGGAGACGCCATTTCAGGAGAATCCTCCATTCTGAGGATTGTCATAAGGATTAGTGGACGGGCACAAACAAACTGCAATCCACAATGAACTGTTTGCTAATAACACCGGATGTAGAAATTAGAGAACCAGACAAGGGAGTTGAGTCATACGCACACACGAACACAATTATGCATATATATATGAGCTGCTAATTGCTTTGTGTGCACCAATCCGTCCTGTGAATGTGCCAGTGCAATATTGCGGTGCTGGGGGTGTTTGCCCGGCTCATAACCGCAGACCAATGTGGCGGAGACAAGCTCATATATTAAGATAACCCCGAAATGGAATGGAATTGTATTTCCCCGGCGGTTCAAACGACTTCTGTGGTTGTAAACTGATAGTGGATGAGATTTGGCTTTAATGAAGCAAGACTTATTGTGCACAGTGCAACAGAGGTGCATGGGTGTATGTGTTTCATTATTTGAGTGTGTGTTTGAATGTGCATGTGTGTCAGTGTGTCCGTTTTTTCCTTAACAAGGAGCGCTGTTATCTATAGCCACATGCTTGCTTTCGCCCTCACGGTGGATGTTATTGTATCACTATTTTTCTTGCTCTGAGGTTGTGAGTGTGTATATGAGGGCTGTGATTTATTTTGCCTGAAATAATCAAGTGAAAGGTTTTTATTTTGTACTCGTCCCTGGTGTAATCGTTCTCAAGGTGTGTGTGTGTGTGTGTGTGTGTGTGTGTGTGTGTGTGTGTGTGTGTGTGTGTGTGTGTGTGTATACACAGTCTGCAAGAGTGTCATCTTCATCTGTTTATTAGAATGTTCCCTACTGGCCTGGCTGTAATGAGACCTGTGGAGCCAAGGAGTGATGGAGTTGAACTCATCAGGAACAGCGAGAGAGAGACGTACAGTAGCTAGGAAGGGAAATAAAGAGCGAAGCTGGATAGTATAAAATGCACTAAGGCCATGAACATTTTATATATATTTTTTATTATCAAAACCTGTTTATTGTTGTCAAAAGCTTTATTTGTTTATGGGATCTATTTTTTTGATCAGTGACTTTAAACCAGGTCATTGTGTATTTTAAAGTTAATAAAATCCCTTGTGATCAGGGATGATTTTACTGCTAAATATCGTCTTACTGCACTTAAGCAATGGCTGAAATTCCATCTGGAAGTATTAGCTTATAGCTGCTGAGTAGCAGGGGAAATATTTTACTACCTATCTCCCTCTGGAGTATTAATCCTGTCCACATAGGTCTAAAGATATATAATGGTAGGAGAGTTTAATGAAAAATAAATGGGTCTATCCCAGCATGCATTAGCTGAGAGGAAGGAAGGTACAAGTAGAGTAGAATAGAGCCTTAATGTCCCAGAGGTGCAATTTTGGTTTACAGACAGTCAAATGAACAGAACAACACTAGACTTAGGCACCAGCAGGCTTATATACAATCACAATGTTAACAAGCTGATGTTTATTAATGTCAAGTTCACCACCATAGTTTAGCACGCTAACAACTGCCAATTGACACCTAAAGGTCCAGTGTGTAACATTCAGGAGGATCTATTGTCAGAAATTTAATATAATATTCATTGGTATGTTTTCATTAGTGTTTAATCACCTGAAAATAGGAATCGTTGTGTTTTTGTTGCGTTAGAATGAGTCGTTTTTATCTACCTTACCTTCCATGATGAACCATCCTGTTTCTACTGTAGCCCAGAATGGACAGACCAGACACAGTTTTTTGTGTGAGTTTCGTGGTCACTGTAGTTCCTCCTTCACACTTCACAGCTTGTTCTCATTCTCGAGTCATCAAATAGAAATGCAAGCAGTATTTATTCAGTTGCAATCTGCAACTTCATCGCTAGATGCCACTAAATCACACACACTGGTACTTCAACACAAAGTACAGCAAAGGCTGATGGGAATGGCATTATGTTTGCTGGTATTTGGCCATAAACAA